AAACTCCAATGGACTCTCATATGAAAATTGCCCTGTTCTGACTTTTTTCTAGTTCCCTGTCTAGAACTTGTAATACTAATTACTCTTTACATCTCCTATTCATGATTCAAAGACTTTCTTTTCCACCTGGAGATAAGAGTTAGGCAATTTGGGAGTCTTTTAGATAGGCCCACTGAAGGGGTACTCCAATTTCTTCACCCTGTGTCCCTGTTCAGCATGGAAGAAGCCAGAGCAGTCTGTGTCCCAGTTCCCTATTGGCAATTTGGGTAATCTCTTCAGAGGATGGTGTGATAAGAATAGGAGGTAGGAATTGCTAGGCACTTAGGGTAAAATGACCCCAAAGAAAAGCAGCCAGTTTCTTGGCTAAAACTCACAATGTCCTTGGGCCTCTGAACAATACTCCGTTCCAAAGGCTAAAAATGTTGAAAATATTTGGGAGCTTGTATCTAATCCTTAAAAGATTTTAGGGTTATCTTTTCAGAAGGGGAAGTGTTAGAGTAGCCAAAATCCCCATAAAAAAATAAATAAATAAAGAAGAAGAAAGAGTACATGAAGTTATCAGAAAAAAGTGTTGGGGAGATATGGGGGGAGTTGGAGGGGAGGGAGTGGGCATGGATTTGATCAAGACACCTTATATGCCTGTATGAAATTCTCAATAAACTATATATTTTTAAAAAACCAGGATGTTTCAGACACACTTGACATCTCTTCTCTCCCTCATCCCACTTCCCTCCCAGTCTCCTAAGACACAACCACTGTCAGCCGCTATCCTCAAGTTGAGCCCATTAGTTTATTTATTTACCCATTTAAAAAAAAATTATTATTTTTGTTTTTAAGGCTGGAGAGATGGCTCAGCGGTTAAGAACACTGTTCTTGCAGAAGACCCGTAACAACCGTCCGTAACTCCAGTTCCAGGGGATCCGACAGCCTTTTCTGTCTTTCGCAGGCATTGTATGACATGGATGCACTTACCTACATGCTGGCAATACACGCATACACATAAAAAATAAGTAAAATATTTAAAAAGTATTTTATTATTTTTTGTTTTTATGTATATTTGTGTATTGCCTGCATGTATATAAGTGCACCCATGTTGTGCAATGCCCTTGAAGGTCAGAAGAAGGTGTCAGATCCCCTGGAACTGGAATTTCGGACAGTTGTTAGCTGCCATATGGGTGCTGGGATTCGAACCTGGGTCTTCTGCAAGAACAGCTGTATTCTTAACGGCTGAGCCATCTCTCCAGCCCCTTAGTTACTCATTTTTGTTGTGCTGGAGATCTAACCCGAGGCTTTGCATGTGTCAGGCAAGCATCTACCAAAGAGCTAGGCCTTTAGAGCTCTAGTCAGTTTTCATCATGCTTTTGCTGTCCACTGAATTTCAGAAGTAAGAGTTTTGTATGGTTCTTAACTTTGCTAATGCTATCACATTATATACATATCATTTGGTATATCGATATTTTGTTAAATAGTATTTTTTTTACATTGATCTCTTTACTCTTTCACTGTGTGTGTGTGTGTGCGTGTGTGTGTGTATGAGACAACATCCATGTGAATTGTGGGTATAGTTCTTTCCCTCCACCATGTAAGATTTGGGGGATTGAGCATAGGTCATCTGCTTTGGCAGCTAGCATTTTACCCACTGAGCCATCTCACTGGCCCATATTTTTACATCTTATTTTTATTTTTTTGAGACAACGTATCCCTGTAGCCTCAGCTGGCCTGGAACAAATATGTAGACCAGGCTGGCCTTGATCTCAGAGATCTCCCTATCTCTGCCTTTCCAATGCTTGGATTAAAGCCTTGCACCGCACTTGGCTTTATTTACATTTTTTTGTGTTGGTTTGTTACACTGAGTCTCACTTATCCCTGACTGGCCTGGAACTCTGCTATGTAGCAGAAGCTGTCCTTGAACTCCTGATCCTCTTGACTCCTTGCTTTGTCCATGTTAGGCAAGCACTCTGCCAACTGAGCTGCATCCTCAACACGTCCTTACATCTTCATTAACACATATTAATTACAGATTAATGGGGTTCATGGTGCATGCATTGTGGAATTCTGTTCATCCATCTTTCTTCCACCCAGGACCCCTGTGACTCCACCCAGCACCTTTCCTTGTCCCTAAAACTTTCCCTTACTTTCTGTTCTCTCCCCCTTTGTCCTTTCTCTGTCTAGTTTTTGCTTCTCCATTCCATACAAGGCTGACTTACTGGTTTACATATGAGTGAAAACGTGCAGTATTGGTCTTTTTATGTCTGGGTTCTTTAAGTCAACCTAATTTTCTCCATTATGTATCCATATTGCTGCAAGTGACAGGACTGCATTCTTCTTTATGGCTCAGTAATATTCTGTTATGTAAACATAGCACATTTTCTTTTTTAATTTTAAAAATATTTTTATTGAGCTTTTGTAATTTCATGCAACAGTTCTTAATCAAATTTAGAACCCCCTCTCCCCCATGCATGCCTTCTGCATGCCCCCACCAGACCGCATGTATTCTGCTATACATGTTAGGTCCTATCTATTCAGGGATTTGTACCCAAATGTCTTTCAGTGTAAATTTTTCCACTGGAGTCAGCCCGTTTAGAGATTGTATGTAAGGCATACTCTCCCCCACCCAGCAGCAATCAGTCTTCAGTAGTTCTCAGTCTAGTGCTGTCCTGCCACCCATTTGTCTTCTCCCCTCTGGGCATGCAGAAGTGCAGACTTTGATGGGTATACAGGCTGTCCTCCCCTCTTTGCAGGCTCCATATTTTTCTATGTACATAAAGGCAAACATACTGTATTGTGTTCTCATCTTCTACTTCCTCCTCTTGTTTTACACAAAAGGTATGTAGTATATACAGAGTTCTGTACCTTTCTGTTTGGATTAAAGTATCTTGGAACACAGTCATTCTTTTGTGCAAGTACATTGTATAGCTGACCTGTATGGCATTTAGTTTTCTAGACACCGGGTTGGTTCCAGCCTTTTGCTCTTACCAACTGTGCTGCAAAGAATTACACACATGCCATTCATTCACATATCCTGAGGTGAAACCGCTGGATCTGAAAGCCTGTGTATTTGCAGGTTTGTGTGTGTGTATGTGTGTGTGTGTATGTGTGTGTGTGTTCATGTGGAGACAACATGTCCATGTTTGATGTCTTTCTCAATCACTACCCACCTTGCTTTTTGAGACATGCCTGTATGTATGTAAATGCACCAGTGTCATGCCATGCCCAAGGAGGTCAGCAAAGGGAATCAGATTCCCCTGGAACTGGACCATTGTTAGCCGCCATGTGGATGCTGGGAATCGAACCTGGATCCTCTGCAAGAACAGCCAAGGCTCTTAACCTCTGAGCCATCTCTCTAGCCCCAGCAACTCATCACTTTTCTAATTTTTAAATTTAAATTTTATTTTACTACTTTTTGTAAATGAAAAGTAACTCTTCCTTCCTACCCCTTACGGATGTTTTCTTTATACACGAAGGAATCTCCAGTGATGACCCATTGGGTGCCTACTAATTCAGTCCAATTCTAACAGTGTCTGTATAGAATCAGATCCCAGAGGCTGAGGACTTAGCCCACAATTCTTCAGCTTCAGGCGCAGGCTGAAAGCAGCACTTTGTCACTTCTGACTGTGAGCCACAGACAAGGATTCCTACATTCTCTGTTAGTTAAATTAATTGGCTAGGATGGTTCACAGAAACTAAGGAAAACATGTTTACCAATTGATCGGAACAGACAGGATAAAGGTTACACTGAACAGCCAGTTGAAGAGATGGAAGGATGACCCATGGGAGAGAGGGCCATGCCCTCTCTGACTCCTTCAGATAGTTCTGTGTTCTCAGCAACCCCAAACTCTTCAAATCTCTTGTTTCTGATATAATTTTTTCTTTGGTGTTGATGGTGGGGAGGACTAGGGATCAAATCCAGTGGCTGACGCATGCTAGGCAAGTGATCTGCCACTGAGCTACAACCCAGCTCCTGTTCCAGAGTTTTTATAGAGCTTATTCTCCAGCCCCTTCCCCTCTCCCATCCTCTGATCTGTTTTTTTCTGGTGACTGGCTGGCCCCATAAAATTTTAGTGTGGTCCATTACAGACTATTTTTTTGGTCTTTTTGAGACAGGGTCTCCCTGTAGCCCTAGCTGGCCTGGAACTCTCTATGTAGACCAGACTGGCCTTGAACTCACAGAGATCGGCCTGCCTCTGCCTCCCGAGTGCTGGGTTTAAAGGGGTGTACCACCACCGGCTATTTTTTGGACAGGGACTTGCTGTTTTCCTCTGCTTGGGCCTGAGCCTTCTGAGGAACAAAAGGGGCTCCATATAAACAACCCAAGACTCTTTTGATGTTTTGTGACAATGTTGGGGCTCAGGACCTACCCCAAGATTTGACTGCGGGAGACCAGAATCTGCCACCCTTTAATATGTTTCTTTGGAATATTCTGAGAAATGGCAGACAGAGTAGTTCTGAAGAGCTGACCCTTTGTCATAGACATGTGTGAAGAAATCTCCATTAGTAAAACCACCTGCCTCAGGAAGAGGGCAGATTCAGATAACTGTCATTACCAGAGAGATTTTTTTCATTTGATATGAGACATTTATTCGCCTTGTAGAGCTGTGTGGCCCACACTCCCCACTCGAGTCCCTGTTCTGTTCTGCATGCTGCAGGAGCAACCGAAAGACTGCCCTACTCAACGTATTCAAGTAAGCTTTCCTCCCGTTTCTCTGCCTTATTTTGCTTTCCACAGCACGGGCAAATCCCAGCACAAATATTATGTAGTAGTGGAAAAAATCCACGGTGTTTGCTGGGAGCTGGGAGCCTTGTCTGAGGCTGGGGCTGTATTTTCTGAATGCAAGGGCAGAAATTACCGAGGGTTCTTTCACTCCAGCAGGCTTGGGTTGCTAGGGGTAGGCATTAATTTACAAGCGGCAAGTTATGAGGCGGAAAGGGCCAGGAATTAAGCCCGCAGGAAGGGATGTTTATGGGGGCGGAGCTAAGGCAGGGGCAGGAGAATGGTTTAAATGAGGGGCTCACACTGGTTGCACAGCACGATCAAGCAAGAAGCTGGGTTGTTTCCCTTCTGCAGAACTGCCCCCCACTGCCTCCGGTGTCTGTCGGCCAGAAGCAGCCAGAGACTTGATGGAGCCCTGGGAGTACCGCGCTAGAGGTGAGCGACTTCCCGGGCCCGTCCTCCCTGCTGGGAACGCTGCGGGGACCCGCTGCCGAGGGTGTTTGGATTGATTTCCCCAACAGTTTACCCAGGAAAGAATGTGGATCAGAGTTTTTAACTTTCGCTCTCTCTCATTCCCTCACTTCCACACACATAGAAAGGTGCCCACAAACTAGATTTAGATTTGTGATCCACTAAATGGAAAAGGAGGGACTGTTAGCTTCTGAAATAGGAAAGTAAAATTCCCCAATATTTGAAAATCAGCATACAGTCTCCTAGAATTCGTTTCTCCATATGTGAATTTTTTTTAGCATTCATTCCCTAAATATTCACTGAGTACCCACTTGTATCAAACCTTGTACGATAAGCAAAACCAAATGATTTTCTTGTTTCTAGGTTTGGCTTTTCGGGGGGCGGGGGTGAGTTGCTTAAAAGAGAAAATTTAGGACATGTCCAGCAGAGCTGGTGACTGGGATGACTTTGGTCTGCACTTCTTGAGTTTTGGGCTCCTATAATACATGTTAACTTAAAAGAAAAGTTTCTTTTAAAAGTCTGTATGGAAAAAAGGGGAATTTTGAGTGTTTTTATAATTTTTTAATATTCTCATCTTCACTACTAAGTCATAGTGCCTAAAATTCCTTTGCTATAAGATAGTGTCCAGTTTAAAATCTTAACTTTTCCTCTCTCTCCCCCTCACAAGAAATAACTAAGTGGCCACCAAACTTTGCAGGCAGTGTGCATTAGCTTATTTGATTGCTTTCCAAAAGCACGCTTAGCTGAGATCAGGGTCCTGGGAGCTTATCCAGTGGTGTACCACATTCATTTAAGTCTGTGTCTGGCCGAGTGGAGGCTAGGTCCAGAGGGCTCTTATGTCTGCTGGGCACCACCACTGGAGTGCTCAGAGGCTGGGGTAGGAGTGGGGGGACTGGAAGAAATCAGGAAGAGGTGATCCTCGGATTTTTCTGGCCCAGAGTCTGTGGGTAGGAATATTGCATGAGCTGAGATGGAGGGGATAAATCAGGTTCCTTCTCCTGTCTGTCTGTCCATGTCGGGGGGGTGGTGTGTGTGTGTGTGTGTGTGTGTGTGTGTGTGTGTGTCCCGCCTCTTTTGCAGGAGAAACAAGGAGCCCAGGGAACACTAAGGAAGGGTTCTAGATAGTCACAGAAACAGATACAAACACAACCGAAGGGTTGGGGGGTGAGCATGGGGTATACCTCTGAGGACCAAGATTCCCAAAGAGTAAGAGAAAGGAGAGAAAAGCAACTTGCAGGGACTTCGGAGTACTTGGCTTGACCATTTGTTTTGTTACCTTTTAGTTCATTCATTTGATACATTTATTTGCTATTGAAGACATGTGCCAAACCCTGAAGTAAGGGCCAGGGAGCTGTGAACCAGGAGGATTCAAGAGAGCTCTTGTCTGGGGCTTTAGGTCTTGTTCCATGTACCTCAGAAATTATACGCTATTTCTGTATGTGTTTGCAAACTTACAGTTTTAACCAGATGCAGATGTTCCTGAGTGCAAAAATGGGAGAGACAACTAATTCAATGAGACTAGTGAGAAGTTTTTTTTACCTTTTATTAGAACTGGGTGTAGAATGTCCATTCCTCCTAACAAAGAACATTGTGTGTGTGTGTGTGTGTGTGTGTGTGTGTGTGTGCGTGTGAATGTAAAGAGCTACCAGATCTGCTGTGTACCTATAAGATAGTGAATTAATAGCATTTCTGTTTCTGAAAAGAAAAGAAAGGGAGTAGACCATATAGGCAAATGGAGGGGAAGAAAAAGAAACACCCTACTTTGGTGCTAGAGACTTGGCTTTGTAGATTTTTCCTATTCATCGTTCTCTCACAGATTCCTTCCACCAGTCATTCATACCCTCACCCTCAAAGTTGTGCTGGAGATCAGGTCTTCCCAGTCCAGGAATCCATCAAATTTCACCAAGTCTTTTGAGCCCTACCCAAGAGCGACAGGCACAAATGGGCCAAGGGAGCGTGACCTGGTTTCTCCACTCCCTCCTAGGAAAAGAGATGGTGGATTATATCTGGCAGTACCTGAGCACCGTGAGAGAGAGGCGGGTGACACCAGATGTGCAGCCTGGGTACCTGCGAGCCCAGCTCCCTGAGAGTGCTCCAGAGGAGCCTGACAGCTGGGATAGCATCTTTGGAGACATCGAACGGATCATCATGCCTGGGGTGAGATATTGTCACTGCAGGGGTGATTCTGAATTCCGGGGTGGACAGGGATGGGTGGTGCTGAAGAGAGCCTGCCTTGAGTCAGCCTGTGAACATATCCCTTACCCCTTGTCTCCCAACATCAAAGCCCCTCTTTTGGGCATGGGAGGGCTAGAATTTGTGTGAGAGCAGGTTCTGAAGCCAGTATTGACCTGTAGTGCCAGTGTAGAGGAGGAGTATTGACCTGTAGTGCCACCCCCAGAGGTGTGAACAGCTCATGAGACAGGCTGACACATGAAGATTGATTTGAAGGTTCAACTGTGAAGCAAGGTAGGAGAGTCCCTGGCTCTGCCTCTCAGAACCCAGATACTGCCCCAAGACCCTGTGACCTTACCAGATAGATGAAAGAGAGCACAAGGCCCAGAAGGCACCCTAGCTGCCAACTTGGGAGGTCTAGGCCACTGAGAGCCCACCAGCCACTCCTTCCTCTGTGAGTGTCCTTTCTACGAAGGAGGTCTGGTGATTGAGCTGCTTCTAAGGGGCAGGAAAGAGCTTTCACTGATACTGTCTTCTATGGAGGGAGCAGCCTGGGCTGGCATTGTTTTGGGCAGGGGACAGATAGAAGCTGACTGATACATGGGGCTTAAAGCATGAGGCATCTCTAGTTACCAGACCTGAGGAGTGTTACTGGGGTGCTCCTGCTAACATCACCCCGGTTCCCTTCCATGCCCTACACAAGTGCTATACCAGTCCATGATGAGCTAGTTTAATTCTCCTAGTGACTCTTTGACAGACTGGGAAACCAAGGTCTAGAGAAGTTTGTTATCTTGCCCCAAGCCCTAGAGTTAGTGTGTGGCAGATCTAGGATCTCAGCTTGAGCCAGTCTGACCTAGAGGCCCTGCTTTGCCACACTTTAAGTACATAGACTCCCAAACTGGCCCGGGCCATGGCAACACCTATTCTTTAACCCCCTGTACCTATGCACCCTCACTCTCTCTGCTTGGGCCCTTAGATCCTGACCTGTATGTGTCTAGAAACTCTTCCCAGTGTTCACTTGAGGTTTGCCCCCATCATCTCCAAAGAACTTGAAACTGAGATGTGACAGATATGTCTAGAAGCCAAGATGAGAAAATTCTCCAACTCAGAAAATAAGGGCAAGTTTGCACAAAGTTGAAGACTCATTTCTCTTTGACCATTCAGTCTGTTTTGTAAGCATCTTTTGAAAATGTCAGTATTGACACAGTTTTACTGAAAAGGCCAGTGTCCTGATAAGATTATCTCACTGATTTCATTCTGTGACGTGTACAGTGGGCTGAGGAACTAACTAATCTGGAGTAAGACTGAGAGCAACCGTTAACACAGCTGAAAGGAGCTGGTTTGCTAGAGGAAAGGAATCCCAGAAGTTTCCGGGGTGTGTCCAAGAGGCTCATTTCTGGTTTGGGGGTCTGTCTGCTTTGATAAAGTTCTTCTGGTTTATCTTGTCTGATTATTTTACATGAATCAATGATTGCATCTCGGTCAGACCAGGGGTAGAACCCTCCCCCGAGGTTTCCAAAATATAGTCACTAAGCATGTGTGCTGGATAGCTTTAGTGTCAACTTGACACACCTGTGTAGAGGGAGCCTCAACTGGTGAATTTCCTCTATTGGATTGGCCCATGGCCATATCTGTGAGACATCTTCTTGATTATTGAGTCATGTGGGTGGTGCCATCCCCCGGACAGGTGGGCTTATATTGTATAAGAAAGCAGGTTGAGCAGGGGCCCGGGGAGCAAGCCGGTAAGCAGCATTCCTCCATGGCCTGTGCTTCGGCTCCTGCCTCCAGGTTCCTTCCCTGAGTTCTACCTTGGGCTCCCTGATGAACTGTGACCTAGGAGACATGAGATAAAATAAACCCTTTCCTCCCCAAGTTGGTATTGATCAGAATGTTTTGTCACGGCAATGGAGAAATAAACTAGAACAACATACTAATAATGAAGGGTCAATCTTTTGTCTCATCTTCCAGATGACTGTGGCCCCAGAGAGCTGGCCCTTTGCGTTATTTTGGTTGGCACCTCATTGAAAACTGGGTGGTTTTTTTCACTTCCTGATATTTTCTAGACACTAAGGAAAAGTTTCATTTTGATTTAATTCCAATTCTGGAGCGAGGGGGGGTACTACTCTGTTTGGGTGTTTGGGTGTTTAGGTGGGCCCTGGAGCAGGCAGTCTTGGGCCCCGGGTCTCTGCCCCTATAGGGTGCTTGTGACTGGGGATGCTAACTCTTTCTGTCAACTCCATTTCTCATCTGTAAAACAGATTGAGGCTCGACCCTTCTAGGGATGATGTCAGATAAAGTACGGAAGGTGAGAGATATGGGAATCACTACTGTGTCAATTGCTTGGTGAGAATTAAAGGAAGAGGTTTGATGATGGAGAGTCAAGTCAGGATGTGTGATGTGTCCATTACTGGGTGGTTAATTTACTGTTAACATTATTACCTTACAATTTACAGATTTCTTGTTCATACTCATCAGTCCTAGGATTTATTTTATGATGGGAAACTGAAGATGAGGAAGGCACAGGAGAGGTTCTGATTTATAGGGTCTGAAGTGTATATACATTTGAGACCACCTTTAAGAAAAATTAAAAATGAATTTCATAAGAGACATAGACACGTAACTTCAGAGCTTAAGTTCATGAGGCTCACAGTAAATCTACAGGAGCTGATTGGGGACAGGGATAGAAGAGCAACTTGTGTCCTTGGACTTAAGTCTTACTCTCCATTGCTATGTGCAAATGCTCCACTGACGAACTAGCTCACAAAGTGAGGCACGTGGGTAGCAAGAACACCAACAAATGTGCCTTATTTCTATGGAGTGTGTGGCTTGCCTATCTGAAAAGTGTTTCCCCATCCTCAGAGTGGTTTCTTCTGAGCAGAGAGATTCTTTAGAGGAAGAGAGCTTTCTGGATGCCACCCGGTGCCAACTGTGTATATACTCTGTCTCTAGGTGGTACACTGGCAGAGCCCCCACATGCATGCCTACTACCCAGCCCTTACCTCTTGGCCCTCCCTGCTAGGAGATATGCTGGCTGATGCTATCAACTGCTTAGGATTCACATGGGTGAGTAGCAATGGCTGTAACTACTGACAACTGGGGACACAGCAGGGGGTGCCATCCTAGGCCACCTGCATTCTGGATTTATTTTTATTTTTGTTTTTTATGTGTATGAGTGTTAATCCTGCATGTGTGTAAGTGCACTTGTGTCGTGTAGTGCCCACTGAGGACAGAAGAGGACGTTGAATACCGACAGTTGCTAGCTGCCATGTCGGTGATGTGGGTGCTGGGATTTGAACCCAGGTTTTCTGTAAGAACAGTCAGTGCTCTTAACCAATGAGCCATCTCTTCCCCCTCACATGAATTCTGTTTTGATCTCTGAAATGGGCCCAAGTAAATATCAATTAAAAAAAGATATATTATCTATTAATAATGGCTGCATTCTTTAAGCTTAATCTTTATTTAAATCATCCCATCTAATCCTTTAATCCTATAGAATCGCAAGTATTGGCCCGATTTTTAGATGAGAAAATTGAAGTTTAAGTGATTTATCTCCCTAAAATCACAGAGCTTAAGATACTCAGATGAGATTTGGGCTGAGATCTAGGTATTGCTGCCGTTTGTGACCTTAACTAAGCACTTTGACGCCTGTTGAATCACAACTTCCTCTGGACACTTGTCTCTGAGGAGTTAGAGATGTGGGAGGTCCCTTGATAACTCCTTAAGCACCACTCAACTCTGAGCTGTACCCAAAGCCTCCAGGAGCACCTTTATCTTTTAGGCTTGAGCTTTCATAGGGTCTAGGGGCTGGGAAGAATTTGAGGGGTGCTGCTATCTTTTTCAGTAAAGAGCATTGCACTTTCTTAATAAGAAACTTTCCCCTTGGGCTTTAGAATCTCCCTCAGATGGGTGTTTTAGGGACTTTGGGAGCCAAACACAACATAATCATTTCTGGTGTATTTCTCTGCAGAGCCCAGGAAAACCTATTCATTGAGGGCAACATGAGTCTAAAGCCCTCATTCTTTTTGACAGAGGAGGATGAGATGGGGGTGCACACAGGTCCTGGCTTTGACGCCTTCTCTACAGAAGTTCCCACTAGTATTAGTGCAGAGACACTGGTGTTTCTGGGGCTGGTGGGGGCATCTTAGTGGCCTGGGGCTGTGCAGATAAAAGTCCTTTCCCTCTTTCAGGCTTCCAGCCCGGCGTGCACAGAGCTGGAGATGAATGTCATGGACTGGCTGGCCAAGATGCTGGGACTCCCTGAGCACTTCCTGCACTACCACCCCCGGAGCCAGGGGGGAGGTGTCCTGCAGGTGCCTGTAGTGACAACACTCCACCTCACATAGGGGCTGAGCAGGGAAAGCAAAGGCAAATCCCAGACCCTCAGTTCTCCTGTTCTCCATGGACTGTCCTTTCTGTCACCCTGACCACCATTATGATCACCACCACCATCACCTGTACCACTTTTGAGGCTTGGACCTCCTACCCCAGCTTCCACTTCATTTACACCACAACCACCATCTTGGCCACTCTCCTCGTTTCATTTGAAATGGACAAATTCAGCATATAATGATTACATTTCCAGTATTCTTTGATTCAGGTCTCTTAGTTACAATCTGAGATCTCTCCTCCATTGACATATTTCACACCTGTGATCAGAGGAAAAGGGAGGAGAAACAACCAATAGCAAAGTGGTTCAGTGTCTTATCTTCTGACCTTGTCTTTTGGATATCTGTCAAATGATACTTCTATGAATATTTCTGCTTTTTAAATAGTAGTGGCTCAGAGTGGAGTTCTGTGAGCCCTTCCCACAGACCCGTCACATTGTTAGAGGCTTTTCTGTTTGTGAATTCCTGACATACATGAAAATGTGTTTCTGAGAACTTTGAGACTCCCTAAACTCTTGAATTCTGCTAGAACATATATATTTCCTGTTTTATAATCTATAAGTCAGAGATAATGGTATTTCCCAAAAGAGTAGATGTGAGGATTAGACAAACAGAAGCCGTTGTGTTGCTCTGAGATAAAACCTGGCTAAGTTTGATGGGCCCACTTGCTAGCTGAGTTATCTCTTTCCCTCTACAGTCTCTCTGCAAGATTATCAGAACCTTACAAAAAAGACAGACAGCTGCTGCTGCACGTTGTATTATCAAGATATTATATTTGGGATATAAAACTTGCAGTATCTATTCTACATAATCTTGCTTTGTTTTTCCTTTTATTGTTTGTTTGAGGCAGGGTCTCACTCTGTAGTCCAGGCTTATCCTGGAACTCACTGTGTAACCCAGGTTAGCACCAAATTCACAGCAATACTCCTGCTTCATCCTCCTGAGTGCTGATGTTACAGGTATGAACCACCACACCTGGATGGTGGTTTTGCTTCTCAGATGATCATCTCAACAGCCCTGTAGGTTCATAGTATCATCTTTGTGATCTTGAGGTCTTCAGATAACTGTTCTAAAGCTCAGAGAGGTTAGATAACTTGCTCTAGGCTACACAGTTAAGTGGGAGAATGACAATTCAAACTCAGGCTTGTCTAAATCCAAATCACACTTTCTCCTGTGTTCATCAGCCATGTGAACTCAAGCTAAGTCTGTATCCTCTCTGAACATCATTTTCCTCATCTGCAGTATTATATGACTGCTGTGTCAGAGAGGTATTTGAAGATTCAGTGGGACAGGAAGAATTTTATAAACTATGAACTGTGAGACAGACGGTGGGATTATTGCTATTCTGACTTCCTTGTTATGAAGTAATTGCCAGTCACTGAATATCCTAGATTAGATCCTAGGGGATCTAATCTACCCTACTGTCCATGAGGGTGTCCACCTGTTTCTTTAGCAGATTCTGTAGGTTAACTGAATATTCCAAGAACCAAAGACCAAACACTGTGAATGATGAGAAATCAAAGGCTACGGTGAGGCTGCTGATTGGCTTCCAGGAACCCCACAGTCATGTCTGAAGAAAAGTCTCCTTCAACCTTGTCTATTTCAAGGGCTGTCCCTTTAATAATGGGTACTTTTCATTTGGTAGATGGAAAAGATTCCATCTCAGATTTGTAAAACAATTGAAAACAGAACAGAGTCAAATCACTGGCCTCTCATATAAGCCAGTGCTCTCCTGCGATGTCCTGTGACATCAAACTCTGTTTCCATACTTGAAAAGCTGGAGGATTCCCTTGTGCTCTCTTCCTGTCCTCCCTCCCTCCCTCCCTTCCCTCCCTTCCCTCCCTCTCTCCCTCCCTTCCCTCGTCCAGGTTGGCCTCAATCTTGCTCTGTAGTTAAGGATAGCCTTGAACTCTCTCTCTCTCTCTCTCTCTCTCTCTCTCTCTCTCTCTGTCTCTCTCTTCCCTCCCTCCCTCCCTCTCTCCCTCCCTCCCTCTGTCTCTCCCATTCTTTCTTTCTTTCTCTTTCTGTTTCTGCTGGGGATCGAACTTAGGCTTTGTGCATGCTAAACCCGGGCTCTACTACTAAGCTGTACCTCCCTGGTCCCAAGAGTGTTTTTTCTTTTAAATGTTTTACACAGTGAGCAAACATAGCTACAAAAAATTGGAACATATTCTTTTTTATTTCTGGAGCGTTCTCTTTTTTGTTTCTGTAGGGTTTTCCTTCTTTCTAGAGCATTCTGAAGCATTCTTATTTCTGGAGTATTCGCTGTCTGATTTCTGTGGTCACTCTAATAGACATGTTGGCACTGGGTACAAACTTGCTTTCAGAATGCAGAATGGGCATGTGAGTTGGGGAGGAGGGAGGCTCCTTGGTAAGAAACTCTGCTCTTCCTTACTAACATTGATTACACAACACACACGCACCCATGCACAGCAACAAACCTGGGACCCTTGGCTAGAGGACACAGAGAGGCTCTGCCATTGGTAATCCCTCTCCATTACAGAGCACCGTCAGCGAATCCACCTTGATTGCCCTGCTGGCAGCAAGGAAGAACAAAATCCTAGAAATGAAAACATCTGAGCCCGATGCTGACGAGTCCTCTCTGAATGCTCGTCTCATTGCCTACGCCTCTGACCAGGTGAGTTACTCAGCACTGGTCATACCTGGTCAGTGCTTGGCTTCCGGGGTCTTAGTGTTTGAGTAATTTTCATCTAGACATGAGTACTCTGGGTTTCAGGGAAGTTCAGGCCTGGGGGTTGACTCTAGAACGGTAGGGAATGCCATCTTTCAAACATTCCTTTCTTTCAGTCTCAGTCTTCAACCATTTCTGGTCTTGTTCATCCCAGCAAGGCCCCACTGCTGACTGTTTTCCATGGCCCACCTAGGCTCACTCCTCAGTGGAGAAGGCTGGTTTGATTTCCCTTGTGAAGATGAGATTTCTGCCTGTGGATGATAACTTCTCACTCAGAGGAGAAGCTCTTCAGAAAGCCATTGAGGAAGACAAACAACAGGGCTTGGTGCCCGTCTTTGTAAGTCAGGACCTGCCCTTAAGAGTAGCATGATAGGACAGAGATGGTAGCAAACCAGGAATTTGGACAGAATCCTGGTAGGTAATGTGCTGCGAAAAAAAAAAAAAAAAAAAAAAAAAAAAAAAAAAAAAGAGAAATCCTCAAATCTAGTGTTTTATGTTATGAGGTGCTATTTCTCGGTGTGCTGTGAAATAAAATGTATGAGTAACCAGTGCTAAAAAGAAATGGAAGATCCTGCTGCATTTGTATAGCTCAGAGTGTGTATTGTTTTGTGAAATCTTTATTTCAAATATATGGTATGTAGAGTGGGTTGCTATGTAAAATATATTTCTTACGGCAGGTCATGGTAAATGCAGTATGAAATACGTACTGTGGTAGTGGAGGTGCAAATGTGTCACATGAGCCTTTATGTCTCTCTAGGTGTGTGCAACACTAGGGACCACTGGGGTCTGTGCATTTGACAGGCTGTCAGAGCTGGGCCCCATCTGTAAGTATCTGCCCTAACTGGCTAGGAAGATAAGGAATAAAGTTAAATATTTCTTAGAACAAGAACCTGAAACCAGTTCCATGGACGCATTCCCTTTGGTCAGTTTGGAGACTGGGGAGCAGAGGAAATCACCAAAAGTGACAAGGGCCACTTTCAGGTAGCCCAGGTCCTGGGCTTTGTCTAGTAGTGTGACAAAGGCTAGAACTGCTGTATTTTATTATGTTCTAGGAGGGCAAAAGGGGGTGAGTGTGCTAGTCAGCTCTGCACTGTGTACCGAGTAGCTCAGATAATGTGTGAGTGTGCTAGTCAGCTCTGCACTGCTGTACCGAGTAGTTCAGATAATGTGAGTGTGCTAGTCAGCTCTGCACTGCGGTACCGAGTAGTTCAGATAATGTGTGAGTGTGCTAGTCAGCTCTGCACTGTGTACCGAGTAGTTCAGATAATGTGTGAGTGTGCTAGTCGCTCTGCACTGCGGTACCGAGTAGTTCAGATAATGTGAGTGTGCTAGTCAGCTCTGCACTGTGTACCGAGTAGTTCAGATAATGTGTGAGTGTGCTAGTCAGCTCTGCACTGTGTACCGAGTCGTTCAGATGATGTGTGAGTGTGCTAGTCAGCTCTGCACTGCGGTACCAAGTAGTTCAGATAATGTGTGAGTGTGCTAGTCGCTCTGCACTGCGGTACCGAGTAGTTCAGATAATGTGAGCGTGCTAGTCAGCTCTGCACTGTGTACCGAGTCGTTCAGATGATGTGTGAGTGTGCTAGTCAGCTCTGCACTGCGGTACCAAGTAGTTCAGATAATGTGTGAGTGTGCTAGTCGCTCTGCACTGCGGTACCGAGTAGTTCAGATAATGTGAGCGTGCTAGTCAGCTCTGCACTGTGTACCGAGTCGTTCAGATGATGTGTGAGTGTGCTAGTCAGCTCTGCACTGCGGTACCAAGTAGTTCAGATAATGTGTGAGTGTGCTAGTCGCTCTGCACTGCGGTACCGAGTAGTTCAGATAATGTGAGCGTGCTAGTCAGCTCTGCACTGTGTACCGAGTCGTTCAGATGATGTGTGAGTGTGCTAGTCAGCTCTGCACTGCGGTACCAAGTAGTTCAGATAATGTGTGAGTGTGCTAGTCGCTCTGCACTGCGGTACCGAGTAGTTCAGATAATGTGAGCGTGCTAGTCAGCTCTGCACTGTGTACCGAGTCGTTCAGATGATGTGTGAGTGTGCTAGTCAGCTCTGCACTGCGGTACCAAGTAGTTCAGATAATGTGTGAGTGTGCTAGTCGCTCTGCACTGCGGTACCGAGTAGTTCAGATAATGTGAGCGTGCTAGTCAGCTCTGCACTGTGTACCGAGTAGTTCAGATAATGTGTGAGTGTGCTAGTCAGCTCTGCACTGCGTACCAAGTAGTTCAGATAATGTGTGAGTGTGCTAGTCGCTCTGCACTGCGGTACCGAGTAGTTCAGATAATGTGAGCGTGCTAGTCAGCTCTGCACTGTGTACCGAGTCGTTCAGATGATGTGTGAGTGTGCTAGTCAGCTCTGCACTGCGGTACCGAGTAGTTCAGATAATGAAATGATGAAGAGAAAGGTTTTTAAAAAGATTTATTTTTATTTTGTGTGTATGAGTGTTTTGCCTGCATGTATGTAGTATTGCCCCACATGTATGCATGGGCCAGAAGAGGGTATATATTCAGAGGCCAGAAGAGAGTGTTGGATCCTCTGGAACTGGAGTTAAGGACAGTTGTTAGCCATCATATAGGTGCTGGAAACTAAACCCAAGTCCTCTGCAAGGGCAGCCAGTGCTCTTAACTGCTGAACCATCTCCCCAGCCCTGAGAAATGATTTATGTTGGCTCACAATTTTAAAGGTTTCTAGTCCACGATCAGTTGGCCCTGTCACTTTTGGGCCTGGAGCAGGGCCCCAAATTGGGGTACATGTTGGAGAAAAACCAGTCACAGCATCACAAGTCAGAGAGAGGGAGATGAGATCAGAGTTGTACCTCCTCTTCAAGGCACACCCTTAGTGACCCGAAGACCTTTCACTAGGCTCTATTTGCTAAAGGTCTCACCACTTCTCAATAGCACCACCTGTGGAATAAGCTTTTTAGCACATGAGCTTTTGGGGGACATGGAAACCAGACCATAGAGGACCCAGGTTTTCTCAGCTTCTCACTCGTATGTCAGAATCTACTTGAAGCTGCATCTAAACAGAGTGAGGGAAGCACAGTGAAATCGTTTCTGTTCTGTCTCTGGAAAGGAAAAGAGTCTGGCAGGGGAAGCCATGGGAGAGATAAGACAGAAGAAACCCAAAGGTAATTGCTTGATTCCCCAGTGAGAAGCCCACCAAGGGCACATGTCTCTCTGTTGTGTCAGATACACTGACATTGCTTTCTGGGCTACAGAGCAGTGAGTTTTGTGCCAGAATGTTCTAGGTTGAGGCCAAGGGTATAGCGGCCCTCTGGCAGGTGAGAGCAGATTAGGAGGTAGCAGGACCGCTTTAGTTCCATCTCCTCATCCCCCAGCCCCCCATGTCACCCTATCTCCACAGCCAGTGGTGACTCCTTTAGCAAAATGCATCATTCTCCCAGGCTCCTCTTTGCAGCCTGCGTCCGTGTTGGCTAGGCGAGTGATGCCCTTTGGCAGGCCGGTAGTAACTTCATGCCTCCCCCGTAGCAGCTAACATTTGCTTCTTCAGGTACCAGTGAGGGACTGTGGCTTCACATTGATGCTGCTTATGCGGGCACTGCCTTCCTGTGCCCTGAGCTCCGGGGGTTCCTGAGTGGCATTGAGTATGCAGACTCCTTCACGTTTAATCCTTCTAAGTGGATGATGGTACACTTTGACTGTACTGGGTTCTGGTGAGTCAAGGCCTGAGCACACGAGAAAGCCTTGCTTCCTTAGAGAAATCTCAGTCACTAATACCCACCTGGAAACCCACAGGGTCAAGGACAAGTACAAGCTGCAGCAGACCTTCAGTGTGAACCCCATCTACCTCAGGCATGCCAACTCGGGTGTGGCCACGGACTTCATGGTGAGTTTCCAGGAGTGGACAGCCTATGGCCTCTAAGGTGGGGATTGGTTGACCTGGCCCCTGAAGTTCCACATGTCCCTCCCTTCAGAAGACAGCACACTATGAGCTTGCCACATAGCATTGCCACCTTGGGTTTCAAGTTGTCTACAAGTCCACAATATGAAACCCAGAAAACTTAATCCCCCACCGAAATCATAGTTCCTGAATCTTTTTGGTTTGTTTTCTCCCCAGAAGTATTCTCTCACTTCAGATAGATCGCTTTCCTTCTCCATCCTGGCTTACTAGGCAGCAGGGAGGGTGGGATATTTCCTTGGGTGGGAAAGAGGCTTCTTGTTTGAATTCCTTGCATGTCACTATCCTTGTCAGAGGCAAGGCAAGGGCTCTGTGGTGTTCGTGACAAGAATCCCTTCACAAGACTCTTGATGTCTTCAGGCCCTCCCAGCTGCCTGCCCCTCAACTTCCTCACACCCTCAGCATGTACCATGTCTTGGGAAAGCAAGTTTTTGGATTTACTCTTCAATTTGAAGATGAGTCCCTAGTTTTAAGCAAGGCATGATTGTAGATAAACATGCTACAGACCACATGACCAATGAAAGGTTGGAAAGGCAAACATAGTGTGCTTGGTTTGGAGTTCCGTGCAGCTGAGAATATTTGGAAAACCCATCCGAAGTCTCTGAGCTTTGGGGCAGTGGCACTGACTTCACAGGGTATTGTGAGGCTTTAGTGCGAACATCCATGTCAATCACTTATCACAGAACCTGAGTGGGAAATGCTCAACAAATGGTATGCATAAAATTCCTAAAAGGTCTTCTAAACTGCACAGGTTTGCTATTACAACGTGACCAAACATGTAAGTGCTAATGCCAGATTGCCTGGGTTTGAAGCCATGTTCCCCTACTGGGCAGTTTTAAGAAAATGACTTGAACTCTATGTCTAGGTTTCTCTGTGTGAATGAAGACAGTGGCAGTTCCGCTTTCTAGGCTTGCTCTGAAAATTAAACGAATTAATACCTTGTTGTACTGAAAGCAACACTGGACACCTGAGAGTCAGTCTTGGTGAAGAGCTGGAGTGTCTTACCTCCTTGGACATCAGAAATGTCTTTCCCTTTTTTTTTAAAATTAATTTTAAAAATTTAATAACAACATGATTAGAAGAAGCATTTCATTACAACTTTAACACATTCAGTAACAATTTCCAGAGCAAGGCTACATCTCTTTCAAAAGTGGCTGTAAATTTTTAGGTTCACAGTTGGGTTAATACAGTTATACAATATTGAACTCAGTATAAACCCTGTACGACATAAAATTGAATGAGTTTTTACCCTTTAAAGAAGATCTCCATTTCATTTTAAAATACGCTGTTTCCTACATTTTTAATGCTACTAACACTTAGATGTTTGCACATGTGTCTTTGATCTCTGTGTATCTGATGATGACTAGTCACAGTCGGTTACTCTCAGATCCTTAGTACTCTGCCTTGTGTCTTTCCCTTTTAGTTCTGTGGTAATAGCTCTGGCATCACTGGACTATATTGACAGTCCTCCCTTGGATTAGTGCATTCTTCCTTGAGAGTTGTGAAGGTTTCGGACCCTCTAGGGGTGAATAAAGATAGATGATTCCTCTTGCCCTCTCTGATGGTATTCCAAAAAATCTGAATGGAAAAAAAATCTAAATTCTACAGCAGTTATCTTTAGGGCTAGTTTTGATTCTGGCTGTGAAGTGATGCCCGTGATTCTAAGAATGTATTTGGATCTTGATAAATGAAGCTCATAATCTTTGACCAATCTATTTAGAAATCATCCACTGGCCACAACATCTCAAGTCTTTCCTGAGGCTCAGTACCATCAGTTTGGCCTGTGGGATTTTTGCTGTTGCTTTTTAAAATATATTTTATTTATTATTTTTATTATTTTATATGTATGAGTGTATTGCCTGCATGTATGTGAGTGCAATGCCTTGGAGGTCAGAAGAGGCCTTCGGATTCCCCTGGAACTGGAGTTAAGGACGGTTCGTAGCTGCCATGTGGGTGCTGGGAATCAAACCCGGGTCCTCTGCAAGAGCAGTCAGTTCTCTTAACCGCTGAGCCATCTCTCCAGCCCGCTTTTTGTTTTTTGAGACAGAGTACGGTATTCCAAGCTGACCTGGAAGTCACTGTGTATGTAGTTCAAGCTGGCTAGAAACTCACTATGTTTTTCAGGCCAGCCTGGAACTCACTGTGATGTCCAGGCTGGCCTTGAACCTGCGCTAGTCCTCTGCCTCGTTTCCTGGGTGCAAGAATTGTAGGTGTAAGTCACCATGTCTGTCTTTTTAAAGTTTTTTTCTGTTTTCTAGGTAGCAAAAGCATTAAATTAGAGCTGGGTGTGGTAGCACATACCTGTAAGCACAGTACTTGGGAGACCAATAGGAGGACAGAGAGGTCAAGACCAGTTAAAATATATAGTGAGACTGTTTTAAAAACAAACTTTTCCCAGTGCTGGTCCAGAGAATCGTCCTTGTTTTGCTGCTGCATCCAGAAGGTACTGTTCTGTGTTCATCGTTTCCCATGTGGATTTTTAAAAAAGTGTAATTAAATGAATTTGACATAGGTTCAACAAAACGCCTTCAATTCTCAGGAGGATAGTAGTTCCAACTTACAAGGTTCAGTATCTTCAAATCACCTTTTTTTTTTTTTTTTTTTTTTTTTTTTTTTTTTTGAGATAGCCTCTAATGTAGTTCAGGCTGACTTTGAACTCACTATGTAGACCTTAAACTTTGATTTCTCCTGTCTCCACCTCCAGAATTCTGAACTCAGACATGTGCCATTCATGCCCAATTTATGCTGTGCTGAGGATCAGACCCAGGGCTTCATGAATGCTAGGCAAGCATTCTACCTACTGAACTATATCCTCAGTTCTGTCCTGGAAGGTGTACTATTACTTTCACAATGCTAGTAGTCCCTGAGTATAAAGTACCCGGAGAGATATTCATGACTCAAAACTCCAGTGTTGTTTGAGGGTCACCGATAATGCGCTCTTAGAAACAAGCTGAGTCTCTGGGAATGCCTTTCTCAGCTGTTCTCATTTGAGAGCATCTCCAGGGCAGGAAGCTTCCATCCCACGTTACTGTGTACTCCAACACATTTAATTTTCAAGTCTGCAAAGAAAGTTACAGAACAATGAAACTGCTCTCTGTGGTAATCCCGAGGTCCTCATAGCTGCTCTGACTCATATTCCAAGCTTTTTTTTTGCACCCAGGTGGCTGTGGTTTTAAATAGAAGCTTAGCCCTGTTCTGAGAGGAACTAGAAACGGAGGCAATCCAGGAGAAGAGATGCAGGTGCCAAATTTGGGAAGGGGAGCTTTGGAATCATCTAGAATCAGGGCTAGTGTCTGTGCCGTCAGTGAAGCTCTTCTGCACTTCATTTCACACCTCTCCAGTGTAGAGAGTACCAACAGAAGGCAGACTTATACAACTTTAAGGACAGAGCAGGCTGGGAGAAAACTCAAGGTAAATAAGTGTCCTACCAGTCATTCTAAGTACTAATTTCCAGATCCAGGAGAAATTAGCTAAAACAATTTCTGGGTCTGTAACGTTTGGTTTTGGAAGAATGCCAAGAAGAATTGGGAGTGAATATTGTGAGATTAGTGAAAATCGCAATGGAAATGATCCCCGCCTCTCCCTGTTAACTGTCTGGTGAAAATTAATTTTACCACAATCATCTAGAAACCAGGATATTTTAGAGGGAGCTCCCAGTACCCACTTACTCTGCTTGATTGTACTTTGACAAGGGGTTGGGACCCATGTTTATTCCCTGCTTCATGGATTTCTGCCCTTTTCCTAGATTTTGATGCCCTCTGCTGGCAAAAAAAAAGTCCTTGTGTTGGTCCTTCACCAGAACTTTGCTTGGAAATCCAAGGTTTAGTGTGTTCTTGCGGGAGATAAATTGTCCGTCACACAAGGGTAATGTACTAGCTGCCCCTGGCTTGGGGAGCTAGGGTGAAAGATGAAGGTGAGGGTATTGGTGAGGATTTGGTAATCCTGTGGAGAGAGGCAGTTAAATATTTGACTTGAAAATTTTTTTGTGTTGGCAGAAATTGTGGTGGAAGCTTTCTGACATCTGAAGGAAGGGTTGGGAGATGCAAATGTTTTCCAAACCATTTGCTGAGAAATTAGTTCAGAAATTTTCAAATCCATGGTAACTGCAACTGAAACTTTGAACTTCAAACTTTCTTTCTTTCTTTCTTTCTTTCTTTCTTTCTTTCTTTCTTTCTTTCTTTCTCTCTCTCTCTCTCTCTTCCTTCCTTCCTTCCTTCCTTCCTTCCTTCCTTCCTTCCTTCCTTCCTTCCTTCCTTCCTTCCTTTCTTTCTTTCTTTTTCTTTTTCTTTTTGTCTTTTGAAACAGAGTCTCCCTGTAGCCTCAGCTGGCTTGGAACTCACTATGTCACTATGTAGACCAGGCTGGTTCTGAACTCAGGGCCTCTGCCTCCCGAGTGCTAGGATTAAAGGTGTGTACCGCCATGCTCGGCTGAACTTCAAGCTCTTTAGAATTGATACCAGAACAAAGGGTCAATTTTAGTCTGAGGCAGACAGTCAGGTGCTCATCTGAAATCTGAAAGCTTGAGAGATGCGTCAGAGGTCACAGGAGTCTCACAGGCAAAAGCCAGAAAGTGGCAGTGAGGTTTTAATAAGGACTAATTGATGTCATTCGTAGCTCACATCGTCTAAACAGTCTACACTGGCTTACCATCCTCTGAGTTTTTGCATCTATTGCCCTTAGGAGGTGGCATCCATTTTCCTGGCAGGTGCTTTTTGATCTGTGTCACTGATGAGCCAGCAAGGTAGCTCTGCCCAAGGACATACAAGGTACTAAGTGGGAGAGTTGGAGGAGCACCCCAGCTCTGCCAAGCCCCGGTGTTTGAGCTCTTAATTACTATACTTTTAGCCACTATACATTTTGAGAAGAATAAAAATAGAGCTTTAATTTCTGCTTTTCAAGGAACTTGCCTCTTTGGAATTTCTAGACTGGGATGAAATGTCTAAAACAGCAATTTCCGTGATGTGTCCTTCCTATTGGCTGCAGGTCACAGGCTTGGTTTGCAGTTGCACTGCTGTATCAGTGGATACCTTCTGGATAACTTTGCCAAGGTTTGCTCCTTAGCAACAGTTTCAGGAGTCATGGCAACACCATCCACCCCAGGAGGGCTGGACAGGCAATACACAATGCTGTGAGTACCCAAGGGAGTGGGCACCTTGTTTCTAACCATGGTCTCTCGTGTTCTTTTGTTTCTAGCATTGGCAGATCCCCCTGAGCCGACGATTTCGCTCTATTAAGCTCTGGTTCGTGATTCGGTCCTTCGGGGTGAAGAACCTTCAGGCTCATGTCAGACATGTATGTAGTGTGAACCACATGGGACTGAGTCCACTTGTGTTGTTTTGTTTTTTCATAGGGAGGGAGACTTGTCTCCATTTTTGCCCAAGGGATCCTTAGTGTCTGACTCAGGTGCTACAGCCCGAGGAGGGGCTTCTGGGATTTGATTACTGGTTCTCTAGAGTATCCCTGTTTGATATAGCCCCTTTGGGCTGTCTGTAATTTGTAGCTCACATTGCTTATGTTCTAAACTGTCAATATTAATGACATTTATTTACCAGTTTCTTGTGAGTTTGTTTGTATCTGTTGTCCTATCACTTCCTTGAGTGTATTTCACTTTCCTTTCGCTGTCATTGAGAACTGGGCACTGCTAGCTAGCTCAAAAGCCTAGTTTACAGAACAGAAAGAGAAGTTTACAGAAGAGAAAGAGAAGATAAGTCAAAGGGCAGTATGTATGGCCAAAGTGAGGCCATATCTTTTTTTGTGGGGGACACCCCGATTGTCACAGCTGGCTGAAATTATACTCACCGCTAATGGTGATGCCTCAGCTCCAGCACCTCTGGCTTGCAGAGAGACCTCCCTGCCTTTCCTGTTCAATTCAATAACCACAGAATTATTGTGCTAGGAAAGGGACACTCATGTTGTTCATTGAACAAGGAGACATTGAGCTGAGCACTTGGGCCAGTGGCATTTCTAAACAGCTGACTCAAAAACACTATTTAATCACTAAGCATATTGTTTCCTTTCCACTTTTCCTCCAGGGAATTCCTTCTTCATTTAACAAACCAGAACAAAATAAAACGGTGAGGGCAGTAACTAGACTTAGCAGTGAGTAGTTGCCACTTAGCACACTGTGGGACCTCAGGCACCGTGCACCCTCCTACTCAAGATCAGAGGGTAGTGGGTGGGGAATTTAAGACAATGGAAGTGCCAAATAAGCATAGATTTCTTTTGCCTACTGCTTGGGATTGGATATTCAACAAGTAGGTAGGTGCTGGGCCACCATCGCCAACGCTACCTTCTGCCAGCCAACCCTCTAATGACCCTTGTTCTCCTACTGTTTTATCACACCAGCTCACACCTTGGGCCTGCTTTGTTTGATTACCAGTCTGCACCTCAGCTTGGGCATTTCACAGACACATCCAAACCCCATGGCCGTGCTATGCCTGCACCCCGCCTTGTCCATCATAGACAGTGCCTTTTCCTCTCCAGAAGGTGTTAAGCTTCTTTGGGTATTCTTCCTGTCTGAGTCTGAGTCTCTGCTTCTGTGGTATCCCCAGGGTCACCTGTTCAAATGCACTTGAACGACTAGGAGCAAAGACATGACAGTGAAGATGAATGAAAATGGAGTTATTTGATATGAGTGAATTTTATCTTTCTCTTCTTTGGGGGTCTTTTTTGGAGACAGGGTCTCCCTGTAGCTCCAGCTGGCCTGGAACTCATTATGTAGACCAGGCTGTCCTTGAATTCACAGAGATTTGCCTTCCTCTGCCTCCTGAGTGCTGGAATTAAAAGCGTGTGCCACCATGCCTGGAGAATTTTCTCTCTTTAAACTGTGATTGTGTTATTACTTGCACAGTACTTTCAATTAAAAAATACATATTGGCTGGGCATGGTGGCACACGCCTTTAATCCCAGCACTCGGGAGGCAGAGGCAGGCAGATCTCTGTGAGTTCAAGGCCACATAGTGAGTTCCAGGCCAGCTGGGGCTACAGAAAGACCCTGTCTCAAAAGACCCCCCCACAAAAAAAAACATATCATGCCTCATTAGAATAGGTGGTCACTCAGATCAGGTAAGGCTCAGAGACGGTAACTGTCTGGCCCAAGAATGAAAGGCCTAGGACTTTATTCTAACCTGATTAGTCTCAAGCCCTTTCTCTGTAGTCATGGCTGCCTCTTACAGTGCTGAGTTCTTGAAATCAAGCTCTTAGAAAGCTTTGTATTCCTACCCTACAGAGTGGTGCTTTATAGATTTGAATTTTAGTTTTACCTTTAAGATTTTTTTATTTATTATTTTTATTTTATGTGTATGCATGTATTGCCTGCATGTAGGTAAGTGCATCCGTGTCGTGCAATGCCTTCGGAGGACAAAAGAGGCTGTCGGATCCCCTGGGACTGGAGTTATGGACAGTTGTTAGCTTCCATGTGGGTGCTGGGATTCAAACTCAAGTCTTCTGCAAAACAACCAGTGTTCTTAACCGCTGAGCCATCTCTCGAGCCCCTAGTTTTACCTTTTTATGACCCTGGGCAGATTACTTAATCATTCTGTATTTGCCCTCTGGATTTATAACGTGAAAATTTGGTAATGCCATTCTCAAAGGTTAAATGAGATAATACACATGCAGTTCTTAGCACAGGGCTTGATAGTTAATAGTTATTCCCCCACTTTGATTTTTCTTATCTTTTTTTTTTGTTTGTTTGTTTGTTTTGAGACAGGGTCTCCCTGTAGCCGCAGCTGGCCTGGACCTTGTTATGTAGACCAGGCTGGCTCCAGTCTCACAGAGATCTACATGCCTCTGCCTCCCAAGTGTTGGGATTAAAGGCGTATGCCATCATATTCTTCCATTGTTTTAATTGCTATTTTTTATTTTACACGTGTGAGTGTATTGTGCATGGATGTAAGTGCACCCGTATCATGCAATGCTCTTGGAGGTCAGAAGAGAACATCAGATTTCATGGAACCGGAGTTATGGATGATTGTTAGCCACCATGTGGATGCTGGGATCGAACCTGGGTCCTCTGCAAGAGCAGCCAGTGCTCTTGACCACTGAGCAACCATCTCCCCAGCCCCCATATTTTTAAAACTTTTTACAAAAGGTATAGCCCAGGCTGACCTCAAACTTGTCCTCTTCAGGACTTGCCAGGCATCCCTACCTCAACCGGGTGTTTTTCTTTCTAATGATAAAAATTGTTGTTACCATCACCATCTCCATTACCTACAGCAGAGATTGGAAAACTTATGTAAAAAGCCAGATACTCAAAAAGGAAGGAAGAAAAAGAAAAAAAAATACTGTTTTGTGGTTTTCACAGTCTCTGTTGTGACTATCTAACCCTGTCCTTGTAACACAAAGCCATCATAAACAATATATGAACACATGGGCACAGCTGAGTGTTTTCTAAAAAACCTGTTGAGAAAAGAAGTGGACCTCTGGCTGCTTCTCCCTGGCAAGTGGTGTGGGTGTGACTGCCCAGGAGGGAGTGCTGTTCTCATCCCCAGGAGGGGGCTCTGTGGTAGCCAGCTACCTGTGCTGCATCCTCCCCCAGGCCTCTGTTCTAGCTTGTAAACAGCTTGCATCATCGGAGGGAGCAGAGAGTGGCAGGAGGAGAAAGTGCTCCATATCCGGACCACCTGCCTTCTGCCACTTGGGCCTTGGGACAGTCCCTTTCCTTGGCTTCTCCTAGAAAGTTAGGAGGTTGACCAAGCTGCGCTCTAGGTCTTTTTCTTTGCCCCAGAGCATCAGCTTCATGTTCCTTAGCATGGTTTGTAGTCTGCACCTGAGATACCTTCGTGGGACATTTTAGAGTTTAGAGAATTTTGGCAGGGCAGGTGGTGGAAATGTGCCTGGAGGGGGAAGGAGTTGTAGGGCTGAATCATGACAAGTTTAGAAAACCAAGAGGAGCTAGAGAACACTTGGAATGCTTTCCCAAGGGTGGAGACTGGGACTTTGTGGGGCTTGGTTGGGGCTGTAGCTCAGTGGGTAGACTGCTTACCTCCCAGTACACAAAGCCCTGTGTTCGGTCCCCAGGGCCACATGAACCTCATGTGGTGGTATGCCTGTCATTGTGGCACTGGAGAAAGGATCAGGTGTTCAGGGTCATCCTCAGCTACATAGTGAGTTTGAGGCCAGCCTGGGAGACATGAGAGCCTGTCTCAAGAAAACAAAACGAAACAAAACAAAACAAAACGTTCTTGGGGCAGCGATTAATGATTAGAGACTGAGACAGGCCATAAGTTGGAGAGAGAAAATGAAGCAACTGAAAGTTGGTACAAATTGCCCAGTGTTTCCTCATGGTCAAGGACAATCGGCTGAATCTCTTGCCTTCCCTTGAGCAGCAGGTGCACCAGTTGATAAAAATCACTTAGTGGAAATAGTATGAAAGAAAAGACAAATCTTGTCTTTTTTTTTTTTTTTTGAGACAGGGTCTTCTGCGGTCTAGGCTGGCTACAAACTTAGCTGTGAAGCTGAGAAGGATGACCCTGGACCTTTTCTTTTCCCTCTCTTTTTCTCTCTCAACAGACTCTCATTATATAGCCTTGGTTGGTCTGGAACACAATACATAGACCAAACTGGCCTCAGAGATCTACTTGCTTCTACCTCCCCAGTGCTGGGGTCAAAGGCATTCACCACCATGCTTGGTTTTGTTCTGTTGTGGAGACTGAACCCAGGATTTCACGCATGCTAGGCAACTGTTCTGCCAGTTGAGCTGCATTCCCAGCCCAGTCCTGTCCTTGTTTATTTAAAAATTCTAGGTATAAGTTAAACCCAAGAAAACCAGAGGAAAAATGAAAAGATGATGTAATGTTTAATAAAAGATTAATTTGATGGGCTGGGGAGATGGCTCAGTGGTTAAGAACACTGGCTGTTCTTGCAGAAGACCGGGTTCGAATCCCAGCACCCACATGGCAGCTAACAACTGTCCGTAACTCCAGTTCCAGGGGATCCGACACCCTCTTCTGTCCTCCGTGGGCATTGCACAACACGGGTGCACTTACCTACACACAGGCAATACACACATACACATAAAAATAATAAAATATTTAAAAAAGATTAATTTGACACGAAATCTTGGTGATACAATATACATAACAACTGGGTGTGGTGGCACACACCTTAATCCCAGCACTTGGGAGGAAGAGGCAGGTGGATTTTCTATGAGTTCGAGGCCAGCCTGGTCCACATAGTGAGTTCCAGGCTAGCTGGGGTTACAGGCAGACCCTGTCTCAACAAAACAAAACAAAACAAAAAATATACATAGCATATAATGTAGCATGTTTTGGCATACAGTTTAGTGTGATAGTACCTATACCAACAATATCAGATGAGTATCACTAGTTCTAGAACATTTCATCATCCCAAGCAGGAACTCTGCACTTATGAACTAGATGCAGAGGCTTTTCCACGGTATAGATAGTGATATATAAAAATTAAGTTTCCTGTGGAGTGCCAGTTAAAAAGGATGAGAGGGCCTTTGAGGTACAGTGTCAAGAGCTTGGTGAGCTTCAGAGGCAAGTCAGCCTATGCAGAGGCAAGAGTGTTGCTTAGCCCTGTGTGCATTAGCTAGAGTGTATCTCTCTCTAGATACTGAATTAAGGTTCTTACCTGCTCCTTTGGCTGTGGAGAAACTGAGAAGCTGGATTGGAGGTTGGTTGCCTGAGTTACAAAGCACACAGCTTTTGAGTTCTGGGGCTAAGTTGAAAGAGAACCCTGAGATAAAAGTTCTCTGAGGTGATAGGAAACAAGATAGTGGAGGTTTTCTAGCTTGAGTATGAGCTAACTGAAATGGAGAAGACAGGAGACAGTGCCCTCTCAGGTCTCCATGCCTCATCTGTCACTGGCCTAAATGTGTGTGTGAAAGTTGGTGGAGTTTGTTTCTTGCCAGACTGTTAATCCCAGTTTTTCTACATTTACAATTCCAGGGCATGGAAATGGCGAAATATTTTGAATCTTTGGTCAGAAATGACCCTTTCTTTGAAATTCCTGCCAAGAGACACCTCGGTCTGGTGGTTTTCCGTCTGAAGGTAATGCCCTCTTCCATGGCTCCCTGGGAGAGATGTTGTTTGGTATTTTCAGAGTCGAGTGGTTGTTGAGTCTCTTAGACCACTAAATGTTGGACTCTGAGGAATGTGTACAGGGATGTGATAGACTCCAATTCTCTTTGTCCTTCAAACAGGGTCCTAACTGTCTCACAGAAAGTGTGTTAAAGGAAATAGCCAAAGCTGGTCAGCTCTTCCTCATCCCAGCCACTGTCCAGGACAAGCTGATCATCCGTTTCACCGTGACATCCCAATTTACCACCAAGGATGACATCTTGAGAGATTGGAACCTCATCCGAGATGCTGCCACTCTCGTCCTGAGCCAGCACTGCACTTCCCAGCCAACCCCTCGGGAAAGGAGCCTCATCCCTCCAATCAGAACCCTGGCCAGTGGATTATCCCTGGAGTCTGTCAATGAGGGAGGAGATGATCCAGCCCAGGCCAGGAAGATCATCAAGCAGCCCCAGCACATGGGAACCAGTCTGGTGAGAAGGGAAGACAGCTGTGACCTTGACAGTCTGCTGGATCCTCTTGATGACTGCTTTTCAGAAGAGGCCTCAGATGGCAGCAAGCACAAGCTGTCGTCCTTTCTGTTCAGCTACCTGTCGGTGCAGAGTAAGAAGACAGTACGATCCCTCAGTTGCAACAGTGTACCCATGAGTGCTCAGAAGCCACTGCCCACAGATGGTTCTACAAAGAATGGGGGCTCCTCCCGGGTCAGGATCTTTTCCAGGTTTCCGGAAGAAATGATGATGATGAAGAAAAGTGCCTTCAAAAAGCTGATCAAGTTCTACAGTGTCCCCAGCTTTCCTGAATGTAGCTCTCAGTGTGGGCTCCAGCTGCCCTGCTGCCCCCTGCAGGCCATGGTGTAGACAGGCGTCATCAACCAGAATCCAAAGATGTGCGTCAGGGAGTCTGTGACCTCCTCAAAATTGTGTGCCGTTTGTGTGCTTCTGTATATGTGCACTGGAAGGGGGAGTAAGTCCATAATTTTGATCAGATTCTCACAGGGGTTCATGACCAACAATGGGATGTAATTGAAGAGTTTAAGCCATAATGAACAAGAGGCTTCCAGTAGCTTGTCAGACAGAAAGGGCCCCCATTGGTGTACTGACAGGCAGCTTCTGTGGCTCAGCTTGTAGTATGAAATTTCATCTAGAAATAAATTGTGCTTATCTCTGAAATAAAGCATACTGTGTTTGACTTATTTGACACCTAAAACATTGATAAACTAATGAAGCTTCACCTGGGGCAGGTATCTTATCGATTCTGTGCTTCAGACTCCTGTTGATTTTAACTTAATTGTGAGAAAATGGAGTTGGAGTAGCCCTTGGTAGTGAAGAAGGAAGGCAGCTTGTGTTTTTTTTAAAAAATATTTTATTCTTATTTTGTGTATGAGTATTGCCTGCATGTATGTGAGTGCACCCGTGTCATGCAATGCCACAGAGGTCAGAAAAGGGCTTCAGATTCCCCTGGAACTGGAGTTAAGGATGGTTCCTAGCTGCCGTGTGGGTGCTGGGAATCAAACCCGGGTCCTCTGCAAGAGCAGTCAGTGCTCTTAACTGCTGAGCCATCTCTCCAGCCCCACATCTTGTAGTTTTAAAGCATCCATTCTCAGTTAACATTGTGGCTTTCCAGTTTGTTCATGTAAAATTCTGTCCTCGCCTGAGGCAGAGGTGTCCTTGTTTGCCCTGGAATTGCCTGGGGAAAGAGTCTTTTAAAAAAACACTAATTTCTGGGCCTGTGGAGGTGGTTCAGCAGTTAAGAGCATGCATTGCTCTTGCAGATCAGAGTTTGGTTCCCAGGACCTGTGTTGGGAGACTCACAACTGTCTATAATTCCAGCTCCAGGCCATGTGATGCCTCTGGTGTCTGTGGACACCTGCACTCATGTGCACACACACACACACACACACACACACACACACACACACACAAATAAAATGAAAAAAATTCTGATATTGGTACTCCACTCCCAGAAATCTTGAGCTAGTTGGTATGGTACAGCCCTGAGCTATAGGGTCTGATCGATGCCCCAGCTGATGCTAACGTGAAGCAATATTTGAGGACCATTGCTAACCTCACTGCTTTCTGAAAGGGGTGAGGGTCAGAAGTATTGGTATCCCCAGGTGGTGGTTTTCAACTTTGAGTCTGCATATGATTCAACAGGAAGGCTTGTTAAAACCGATCGCTAGACCTACTCCCAGAGCTTTTGATTCTGTAGTTTTGGGATGGGGCCCAAGACTTTGCATGCCTGCTCCCTGCTCCCAAGTGATGGCTGGTGCTCTGGTTCAGGGAACATACCATAAATACTAGTCCATGATGTTCTCTTCCTGCAAGTGCTAGGTGGCACCTAACTGATATCAATTAGCTTTGTGACTCTTGATACCAGGCCTATTTTTGGTCTACACTTTGAGCCTCAGAATAAGATAATTCAGCTCTGACTTAATGCTAACTAAGCACGCATGATGTATTATTTGGGGTGCTTTTTATCTATGCTAATCGCTCCCCAAATATGACCCTTGACAAACAATATCAGCCTTACACTGAAATTTGTTAGAAAGTCTGATTAAGCTTCCAACTCTAGTGAGTTGGGACCTAGAACTTCGTATTTAAATTTTTTTTTATTTTTATGGGTGTATAGCCAGAATGTATGTAAATGCACCTGTGTCCTGTGTTGTGCAGAGCCTGGTGTTCAGAGGGGTTGGATTCCCCTGGAACTTTGTCTTTCTCTCTCCCTCCTTCCCTCCTTCCCTCCTTTCCTCCCTCCCTCCCTCTCTTTCTTTCTTTTCCCCAAAAGTGATTCTCAGTGTTCAGGTGTAAGATTTGGATCATCTTCCTCAATAGAAAAGCTTATGTGGAAGACTGCAGAGTTGTTTGAAGAATAGGCAACACATTCTTGGGCCCCATCCTGGACCCAGCACATTCTTTACTATGTACCAGGTGTTTGGATGAGCAATATATCACAGTCTCTGCTCTCATTGAGCTTTTAGCTTCACAGATGAATGGAATCTGCACAAAAGGAAACTGACACTCTTAGTGGAATGGAGCCCTTCATCTAATGTTCTGTGTGCTCTGGGAGACTATACTAGAATGGTGTTGGTCAGTCAGCGCACCTCCCTTGGAGCAGTGCTGATGGTGTGAGTGGCACTGTCATCTTTCTTGCTCGCTGTCTCATGAGAGATTTCCTGTTGGCCATCAGCCATCATGATTATTAATATTATTATTTTTAAATTTGTTTTTGGAGCTGAGGACCGAACCCAGGGCCTTGCGCTTGCTAGGCAAGCACTCTACCACTTAGCTAAATCCCCAAGCCCTATTATTTTTAATTTTTTTTATTATTTTTATTTTATGTGTGTGTGTTGCCTGCATGTGGGTAAGTGCACCCGTGTCATGCAATGCCTGCGGAGATCAGAAGAGGTCATTGGATCCCCCGGGACTGGAGTTATAGACAGTTGTTAGCTGCTATGTGGGTGCTGGGATTTGAACCTGGGTCTTCTGCAAGAACAACCAATGTTCTTAACCGCTGAGCCATCTCTCCAACCCCTATTTTTAATTTTTAATTGAATTTTTGTGTATTTCATGCAGAACATCTCAATCAGTCTTACTAATCTTTACACCCCCTTCCTCACCGGCACCCTCCCATAGCCCCCCACTGGAATTTATACATTCTGTCATTCGTATTAAGGCCTGTTGTGTCAAGTTAGTGTCCCCAGATGTTTTCTCGGTACAAGTTCATCCACTGAGGTCTAGCCAATCTATCTTGAGTCCCCTCCTCACCCAGCAGTAATCAGTTGCCAATATTTCTTCAGCTAAGATTGGGGCCTGCTGTCCACTTCCATAGTTCTATGCTGGGTTTTGTCTGCTTAAGTTTGCATGGGGCTTGTGCATGCTGACACCATTGCTGTGGGTTCATATGAGCAGGGTTCAGGAGCTCATAGGATGCTATTTCTATTTGGTCATGTGCCTCCTTCCTGGCTCTTACAATCTTTCTGCCCTCTTTTCTGAAATGGTCCTTGAGCCCCGGGTTGGTGAAGTTTAATAGAGGAGTCCTGTCCAAGGACCAGCATTCTGCAGACTCTTGGTCCCTATGCTTTGGCCATTTGTGACCTTTTGTATTTCTGGCCCTCTGTTGCATGAGGGAGCTTCAGTAATGAGAACTGAGATATTCATTAGTTCCCCTTTACCCCTTGTTCTATGTTCTGTGAGTCTTAGGTATAGAGGTTGCATTGTAGTTGTGATACTTAGTGTTGGACAATTCACAGACAATGTGTGTGATCAGTTGTGGTATTCTGTAATAGTCCCCATCTGGTGCAAAAGAAGCTTCTTTGATGAGTGGTAACTGGGATATTTGTCTGTAATATAAAGATACATAGTTTGCACATAGACTTGGGGTCTTCTCTAAGATCTATGACCTTTCTAGCCATGTGTATTTGGCTGTGTTTACACACATGAGTTTCCTTCCATTGAGTGGGCTTTTAGTCCAATTAGATAGCTGTTGATTGCCCCCAAGATAAAAGTGCCACAACTGCACCAATGTTGTATGCTGTGCAGGTCATTGATGTGGTTATTTGGTCTTGAACTGGGTTTGGACCATTGATTGATGTTCTCCCTTAGCACCTTGTGTAGTGCTCTCCAAAGCTATGAGAGCTAACCTTCAGGGGAAGTGGCTTCCAGGTCAGTTCCAGCTCCATTGCTTCAAATCCCTTGTCTCTGTCTTCAGCAGTAGGGTCTACCTTCAAGTTCTGGGAGGCAATCAAGGGCTGTGGCAATAACCTGTGTAATTTTGGGAGTCTCTTGGACCACTCTGGCCAACAACTCGAAGGAAAGTTTCTCCTGTCTGGCACTGTTTATTATTATACAGCCTTCAGCTATACACATGGACTAATGTAGAGATACTGTATGTGTAATTTGTTGTTAGGTTGAACTAATATGATTCCTTCTTGTTGTTTATACTAGGTAGGCATTCTCTCTCTCTCTCTCTCTCTCTCTCTCTCTCTCTCTCTCTCGTCTGTCTAACCCTTCCACCATGGCTTCCCCATTTAAAGCGTCCCCATTTTCCCCATTTCTCCCTTGATAATACCAGTCTCTTATAGTCCCACCCCTCTTGAGCTCCTTCTTTCCCTTTATCCCCGAAATTCCTTGTATTACCCTCCCTCCTCTCTTGCACATGATTATTGTTATTGATGAGAGTCTGTGACATATGGTGAGGACTCTGACCTTCCTTCAAAGGGGCTTTTCAGACCTTCAGGATCTGACCTGATTTCTCAAAGTCTTAGAAAACTCCACAGTAGTGTTGAGCACGTCTTTTCGTCCACAGCAGGCGAAATGCTTTAATGTAATCCACTAAATGCTTTAGTGTAGGCATGGGATAGGAAGCATGCTTATGAAGTCATCTTTTAGGATGGATCAGTCCTCTCCACTTAAAAAACTTTTGTTTATTATTTTTATGTGTATGAGTGTATTGCCTGCGTGTATATAAGTGCACCCGTGTTGTGCCAAGCCCACAGAAGTCAGAAGAGGAGGTCAAAGTCCCCTGGAACTGGAGTTACAGACTGTTTTTAGCCACCATATTTGAACCCAGGTCCTCTGCAAGATCAGCTAGTGCTCTTAAGTGCTGAACCATCTCTCCAGCCCCAGCCTTCTCCACTTCAGAGGTGACACTGCCTGCATTGTTTGGGTTCATATAACATCCTACTACACATCAATCACAAACATCTGTCTACTAAATTGTTTACATGGTTATCAGCTTAAGTTTAAAAACAAAAAACAAAACAAAACAAAAAACACGTGTGCCAGGCCCTTCTCCCAGCACTCGGGAGGCAGGGACAAGTGGATCTCTCTCTGTCAGTTTGAGGCCAGCCTGGTCTACATAAGAGTTCCAGGCTAGCCAGGGCTACATAGTGAGACCATGTCTCAAAAAGGCAAAAGAAAATACCCTCTTGTATTTTATTTAAAAATTAAAAAAAATTATTATTTTTATTTTATGTGTATGAGTGTTTTGCATGCAATGCCTATGGAGATCAAAAGAGGGCATCAGATCCCCTGGAAATGGAGTTATGGATGGTGGTTAGCTGCCATGTGGGTGCTGGAAATTGAACCCAGGTCCTCTGTAAGAGTTGCAACAGTGCTCTTAACCACTGAGCCACCTCTCCAGCTCCAGCGTGTCCTTTAAAAATGAAGATAACTAATGCAGCTATTTCTATGGACTTGATTTTTAAACTTCTTTTTGTTAGTATATGTTAATTATACATAATGAGATTCATTATGGCATCTTCATACATGTATGTATTTTGATGATCTTCACCCCATTACCTCTGGCTCCCTTTCACTGCTGACAATCCCTTTCCTTTTCCCAACTACTCTGCTTTCTACTTTCCTGCCTTTGTGTGTATACGTGACTCAGGGAGTTTAATCAGGGTTGTTTACGTGAGCCTGGGTGAGGGTCTATTTATAGACACATGAGCATCTTATTAGTAGCTACAACACTGAAGAAAAGTCTCTTCCTCCCCTAGTGACCATTAACTGCCTGTAACCCCTCACAGAGGGATGGGACCTTTTAAGCCCCTCCCCCATCCGTAATAGAATGCTGACAAGGACCAGTCTTGTACAGGTCTATGTGCAGTTACTATAAGTTCATTTTATGAGTGTGGTGGCTACACCATGCCTGGAAGGCAGCTCCTCTACTCCTCCTTAAGGCTCTTCTACCATGTTCTCTGAGCCTTGGAGAGGGTGAGGTAGATGTTATGGGCCTGGTTTCTGAACCTTTAAAAAAAGAAAGATCAGTCTTTAGAGTTGATTGTCTCTCACAGGTGATGGTTTATGTTTGTTTTACACACAGGGAAACCCAGGACAGTGCCTGGTGCTTCCATAGAGTGGAGTGATGGCACTTGGCCTGAATGGGGGAGGTTGGTGGAAGTGGAAGGTAGAGGAGGCTATCAGGCTGGGAGGTACAGCTGGCAGGGATCTGAGGACTTTAGCTCTTATTTCTAACTGGATAATCTAAATCTAAAGGATGGGGCTGGAGAGATGGCTCAGCAGTTAAGAGCACTAGCTGCTCTTGCAGAAGACCTGGGTTCAGTTCCCAGCACCCACATGGTGGCTAACAGCTATCTGTAACTCCAGGTCCAGGGGATCCAATAGCCTCTTCTGACCTCTGCAGGCACAGCTTGACTTGAGTGCATTTACATATATGTAAGCAATACACTCATACACGTAAAATAAAAAAATATTAAAATATTTTAAATCTAAAACATGGGTCAGGGGAGGTCAGAGTCCAGCAGGCTACAGCTACAGGAATGTTAATGTTCTGGCGAATGGTATAAACACTGACCTCTCACCTGAAAAGATGACAGCAACAGCTGCTTTGACTTAACCTTTGTTGACAACCTGATTTACTTTGACAGGATTCCATGTAACACAGTTGCACAACATGGAACTCTTACAGTCTTGGGTTAAAATTCCCACTGGCAAGAATAGCACTTTGCAAAAATTCCCAGGTGCTGACAACAAACAAGAATCATTGGGACAATTTACAAAGATGCAGCATATCCAAAGTTCCCTTTGGCAGTCCTCAAATCCCTTCAGCATATTAAGTGCTCAGGAAATGTTTATTGGCAGACATAATAGAGGACGAGATTCTAGTATGGCATCTTCCTTTAAAAAAATATTGTATCTATTGTTTTTATTTTTTGTGTATGTGTGTATTGCCTGCATGTAGGTAAGTGCACCCGTGTCGTGCAATGCCTGAGGAGGACAGAAGAGGCTGTCGGATCCCCTGAACTGGAGTTATGGACAGTTGTTAGCTGCCATTTCTCCAGCCCTGTATAGCATCTTCTCATCTGAAAGGGCAGAGAGAGTACTATCGACATTTCTAGAACTTTTCTAGTGCTGTGTTGGGGGCAAGGTGGCCACCCTTCTCATGACTCAGGATCCTTGGCTATACACTTGGGGATCCCTGGGTATAGTACCTGGTCATTTGAGGATGCCCTCTAGGAAGGAATCTCTGCTACTTCTAGGCAGGCTAGGGGTGACCTGGGTCTCACTTGTTAGTGTAGACTCAGTGACTGTGATGCTCCTATGACCTGGGAAAATCTCTAGGTCAAGGACATGATATCCCCTGAGTGCATGACCAAGGACCTGAAACTGTCACAAATGATACATGTAGGAGTAAAGGAGCTGCACTCAGGAAGGGAGACAGCACAGTAAAAGGACAAAGAGCTTGGTTGAAAGAGTTCCTTACAAGGTCCTCCTGGGCCAATGGCTCCATATCCTTGAACAAGCTTGTGCTCAGGAGACTGGCTGGGGAGTGAAACCAGTTTCCAACTGGGGAAGGTGGGGCACAGTCCCAGGTGTATGATGTGGGGATGGCATTTGGAGACCTGGGCTTTTCTGCTCCACAGATACATTTTGTTGAGATGTTTGGAAGGTTCAAAATTTTGAGATTATTAAGGATTTGGATATCTAGCTGCGAATGGTAGTGCATGCCTGTAATCTCATCAGTGGGGGGGGGGCGGGTTGTGAAGCAGAGGGCAACCTGGGCTGCATAGTGAGACTGCCTCAAAGAAATAAATCTGTGTTTCAGTTTTCTGAATAATTGGAGTGCTCATCAGAATTTGACATGCAGTAGTAATCGGCTGGCAAGCTGAGTAGTGGCTGCCCTCAGCTTTGTGGTTCACACTGATGATCTGTTTGCCATCTCTACGGTTTCTATGAATCCTGAAGATGAATGAGCTTGAAACCCTTGATACAGCTAGAAAAATATTTGCCAAATTCCCTTTATGTATAGAATGCTGGTGCAATGGACCTAGGCATCTTTAAGGACTAAGATGGCCCTCCCTCTCCTGGCTGATGCCATTTTGTACCAGTGGCTGGGATGTTTTCAGGAGGGGGAGGGTGCCTTTCTTTCACTGCAGCTGGGTTTCTATTGTGTTGTTTGTTGCTGGCCCACCCTCCCTCTTCTTTGCCACTTTGGCCATGATGAGTGGGATGTAAGTGAAAAGTTGCCAGGGACACTGATGATTTTGGAATAACTGACATGGAGTTTGCATTTGAAATAGAGTAGTGGGGCTGGGGAGATAGTTCAGCAGTTAAGAGCACTGGTTACTCTTGCAGAGGACCTGGGTTCAGTTTCCAGCACCCACATGACATCTAACAGCAATCTGTAACTCCAGCTCCAGAGGCTCTGATGCCCTCTTCTGACCTCCATGGGCATTGCATGACATGGGTGCACTTACATGCATGCAGGCAAAACCCTCATACACATAAAATAAACAAGAGGCACAGAACTGTAAGAGGCAGTGACATTTCATAGTTTAGTGTTCATATATTTTATTATGTATTTAAAAAAAATAAGGCCCTTCCTCCAAGAAGCCCAGCTTGCAAATACAAATGGCAAGCACACATCGAAAAATAATTATCTCTAAATCTTTTTGCTTGCAAAGGTTCAGGTGTAATTAAAAAACTCTGCCCTTTTAAATGAATAATTTCCTAAAAAGTTGTACCTTACAATCTTCATTTAAAGTTGGATTCTACAAGTGGCTATGGCAGGTCCACTCAGTTTCTTTTTGGAAGTGTTATGAGCTAGGCTCCTAGGAATAGTCAGAGTTTCAGAGTTTGATTACTTATGGCATTATAAATGCCCTCAGTCATAGGCACGTATGCTTTTGCCTTGTCATCCATGAAATACAGGGCGTCTTTGATGACTGTGGGATTAAAGCCCTCCTCCTTGAGGGTTACTTTGCGATGCTTGAAAGTCCCAGTGATCTCAATGGTGTCCTGAAAAAGAATAGCAATCCACATTTTGATTGTGCTTTATGATAGATTAGGATGGCAGGGTTAGGGGTGGGGCACATGGGACTGGTTTACTGGCATCTCAGGATTGTGTGAAGGCTGGAAAGTATAAGACCCACACAGTCTATTTTCTGAAATTCCACAGGGACCCTATGTGAAGGAATTGTTTTTATTCCCTGTCCATGGGGAATGAAGAGCTGCCAACAGATGAACAGAGGGGTAAGGTGTCCAGTGTCACTGGGATATCCTGGCTGATGGTGGAAGTGGGAAGAGGGATCATTTACACATAAGCAACTGATTTTACCAGTCTGTCTGCCTATTAGGCTAAAGACTCCCTTCAATGTTGACTGGACTATCTGAAGATACTTCATTCTTATGTGTCTTTACCACCTGCTTGCAAAGCAAATGCCAGTGATTTATGACCATCAAATAGAAATAACCTAATATACTCAATAGTACCTGGGACCCTAAGATTCTCAAGTCTTTAGTTATAGAATTACAGAACTCAAAATTTGAAAAATGAGAGGATTAAACTAACTCTAGGAGTGATAGCTTGAAAGTTCCAATTAACTAACGATGCTCAATGGAGTTTTCGCCTATGAAAAGGTGTAGGATGTCAGAAGATTTGTATTCTCTAACATTGGAAACAACATGACTGGGTATAGCTCAGTGATAGAGCTTGCCTAGCAGAAGCAAGGACCTGGGTGCTAAACTAGCACCAAAAAAATAAAAGTAAACAAGCCGAGTGTGATGGTGCATGCCTTTAATCCCAGCACTTGGGAGGCAGAGGCAGGTGGACCTCTTTCAAGGCTAGCCTGGTCTACATAGTGAGCTCTAGGCCAGCTGGGGCCACTGGGAGACCCTGTCTCAAAAAAAGAACAACAACAACAACAACAACAACAACAACAACAACAACAACAAAGTAAACAAAAGGAAGGCAGGCGCGCTAGAGCGTTTCTCTTTGAAGTGTCTGCCACAGTTACATACTGACTTTGTGAGTTATTCGTTAAAATTACAGTTGACTAAATTGGCCCGTCATTTTAGTGAGGAAGGGATTAGGGTTAGATTTCTGTTTGCTGTATTTTCTGTTTTCACATTCTTACTAAACCACAATACTTCTTTCTGAGCTGTAGCAAAAATTTGGCAAATGTGGTCACTATGGGAAAGGGGAAGTGGTCCCGAAGAAACAGGATCTCTATGAGAATATAATTGAACTTGACAAGACTTCTCACCTGAATTCTCAGAAACCGAGGCCTTGCATAACTTGGCAGGTAATCAGTAATGTGCTGGAACAGCTTCTTTCCATTGAACTCATAGTTTTCTTTCACCTTGATTGAGGCCATCCCAATTCGACCCTCATGACCTGGAAGTGAAGTGAGAAAACACCGAATGTGTTTTGTGGCATTAATTTCATTCCTGAGGCTTTGCTAGTTAAAAGCCCTCTAGGCTAGGCCAACAGGACAGCATGGGTTTCTTTTGAATGGTTCGAATTTTTATATTTTAAATATATATCCAAGTTATTTTACGGTAGATATATCATTACTAGCAATAATAATGGTTCTACATTGAATCTTTAATATTTTCCATGGCATAAACGTATTTTGTAGATTATTTCTTTTAACCCTAACAACAACCTACTAAAGAGGTTCAAATGTTACCTCCATCATTACAGATGAAGAAACTGAGTCTTAAAGACATTCATTGTCCAAGGTCATACAGCAAATTCTGGGCAGCCTCAGAAACAGGATCTAGGCAGGCTGGTTCTGATTCCTGTGTTTTTAAATATTTTATTTATTATTTTTATTTTATGTGTATGTTGCCACGCAATCATTGATTTATTTACTTTTGCAGGGCTGGGAATGCAACCCAGGACCTCACACATGCCAGGCAAAGGCACTATGACTGAGGTACACCCAAGGCCCCACGCCACTCATTTTAATATTTTATTTATTATTTTATGTGTTTGTGTGTATTGCCTGCATGTAGGTAAGTGCACCCGTGTTGTGCAGTGCCCGAGGAAGACAGAAGAGGCCGTCAGATCCCCTGGAACTGGAGTTATGGACACTTGTTAGCTGCCATTTGGGCGCTGGGATTTGAACCTGGGTCTTCTGCAAGAACAGTCAGTGTTCTTAACCACTGAGTCATCTCTCCAGCCCCAATTCCTGTGTTTTTAACTATCATTCTTCTTCTTGGCCTGTACAGAGCTATCTGAGCAGGACACACACTCAACTGGTGGTTAAAGACATTTCCTTTTTTAAATTGTCATTGTTGCTGTTCTGTTTTTAATCCAGCAAAAAGTCCTTGCTCCACTGCTGTGGGTAACTGAGCTCTGTTTGTTCTTTAGTTTGCAATGCCAGGTTTGTTGTGCCCACAGGTGCAAACACTACCTTTGAGACTTATTTATTCAATCAAAGTTCCTAATAGCCTGCTTCTCTGTATTTCAGAGAGGTTATAGGACAGGAGGGTGAAGGCAGGTGCAGGGGTGAGCTGTTGTGCGCCCTTCCAATCATGCCACGTTCTCTCAAGGGAACATGCTTTCCACAGAGAAAACTGATCTCAACAGCAGGGCTGTTCATAGGGAGAGATGAGAATAATTACCATTGTTTGCTTGTAAGGACAGTGGTAATTAGATATTAATATATTTTCTACCTGATCCAGCAGACCCAGTGGGAGTCCAGGTCTACTTCCCTGAACTTCTTAGTTGTAATCAGAGATGAGGAAGGAGCAGCCCTTGGTCACCTGGACCCCACATTTGAAATCTCTCCCATGGTGATCGTGTGTTTACTATGGCTCTAAAGAAGGCGAAACACAAAAAGAAATATTCTTTCTTAAAAAAGAAATGCCTCATTTCTGTCCCTTTTGTCTGAAGGAGGGAGGAAAAGTACCAGATCCTTTTCCATAAGGGGTTCCTCACCCCGTCTCAGGAATCTCAAATACTTCTGGTAAGCTTTTTTAAAAATCATGGCAGATGCCAGTACAGCAGGAGCAATCTGCATTGACTGGCTCCCTGCTTCTAGCTCTGGTAGTGACAATGTAGGACCAAGAGGTAAGGGGGCCTGTGGGTTCCCAGGCTTCTGCACTGACTCCCAGAGGTTGGCTTGGGGCTAGTTCAGCTCCAGGAGGAAGGTTACCTTCTACAGTGGTTTAGACTAGGCCAAAGATCAGTCCTGTTTTATTCTCTAGAGCTGCATTGTTTAATACAGCAGCCATTGGTCACATGTGGTTATTAAATCCAAAAATTAATTACAATTAAGTGAAAGGAAAAAATTCAACTCTTCAGTTGCACTATCCATATTTCAAGTGCTCAGTAGCCACACGGTGGCTGTTGGCCACTATATTGGATTATTTTCATCACTGCAGAAAAGTTCTGTTGAGACTGGACGTTCTAGAAAGTATTTGGACAGATGTGTGTCAACTCCATTCTAGGTCCAAATGTAGTTCTTGGGTTACAGGTGAGGTCTAGGACTTGCTCACAGTTACTGCTGGTACCCAAAGCCTGACTTTGGAAGGGTCTGCTGTGTCTTCAGGTTTGGGTAGGTTGTCCCCTGTGGATAGGGAGCCAGACGGTGGCAGGAATGGCAGTGATTACCCTGACCGCCCATCTGTTAGGTTATCTGTTAGATTCATCTCTAACCTTTCTCTGCTGCAAGAATTCCTCTGGCATTTCTAGGTGGAAATGGGTCCAGCACTTTTTATGTGCCCAGTCAGTAGGCACCTCAAGCCTGGAAATGAGCTGATGTGATTCTTGGTCTCTCTGGTTGCAGAAGAGTTTGCAGACTAACATTCTCCTTTTGATCATTTCAAACTGTGAGTTTTGGTTTGGGTTACTGGAGCGACACCGAGCGTGCTTGCCCTGTCTTCTGTCTGTGGAGGACCTCTGATGTGTTCCCTTCTTTGCTCTATACGGGTCCCAAACCCAACTGATAGACTCACTTAGGAATTAAAAAAAAAAATCAATTCTGAATCCCATGATCCTGAAGTTCTGATGCATTAACTTTGGGTTTTAAAAAGTTTCCCATATGATTGTGAGATTGGCCAAATTCTGGGATTATTGGGCTAAATGCTTCTCATACTTGAGTTTTTTGTTTGTTTACGCTTTTTTTTTTTGAACTATAGTCCAGGCTAGCCTGGAATTCACTATGTAGCCCTGGCTGACCTTGAATTTGAAATTATCTTTCACTTCAGTCTACTGAGTCATGGGATCACAGCTGTGTGCCACCATGCCTGTGGTTTTAAAATGGTGGTAAAATAGGAAATGCATTATTTTCATCATTTCAATGACATTTAGTGTATTTACAATGCTGTCCAATCACTGCAAAGTTCTAGAACATTTTTTGTTATATCAAAATCAGACTTAATACTGTGTGTATAGTGAGGAGCTGGAGACCAAACCCACAGCCTGTGAATGCATGCTAGGCTTACATCTGCCACTGAGCTACACCCGAGCCCAGACTTCAGCATTTTTTTTAAACTTTAAAAAAAAATCTCCATTTCATTATTAAAATACAGTTTCATACAAATTAATTTTTAATACAATTGACACTAAGATGCACATGCGTTTCTAATCTCTATCTGTTTATTACTAGTCACAGT